TGGGGGAGCCCGAGAATCCTCCATCTCGATATTTCTCCTACGGGTAAGTCCAACATTACGACTAGTCAGTCGAAGCTGACTTCCTAGTCAACCTTTACCCGCACTGATGTCTATTGCGCAGGCAATGATTTCCAATAATCAGGTTTTCACTCTCCCGAGTCATCCAGGAGAGAACTCCACTTATCGATTACAGTTCAGAGGACCGCACTTTAGATGTACCACTACACAGTATGATAGCACCGTCACACTCAACTACACTCCGCCAGCTTCTCTTCTGGCACCGATTTTTACAACGGCATGGGATCAAGAACGAATGATGTACATGTCCAAGCAATACGACATTGCCAACTACAGTGTACAACGCGATCTTGACAGCGAGGCACTCGTGTGGGACGCGAATTGCGTAGTCGATGAACAGATCTGCATATCTGAGTCAGTGCTCTACAATCTTAGTGTCACGTTTCCGCGAGGCCTTCAGACAGTCGATTATTCCTTCAGCGATTCAAAAGCACTGTCAAGAAAGGTCAACCCTTTCGGGGCAGAATCATATCTAAAGATTGATCTTCCACCGAAAACGCAAGCATTTCAAGACTGGTACCAGAAACTATTAACGATTATACCTGTCTCCAATGAGTGGGCCATCCTAGATGCGATGGGGGCACTCATCGAGGGCACATCATGGAGACGGGAGTCAGTACCATCGCGTTTGTCATCGTTACCCGGTTATCCACCTCTGGAGTCCGTTTTGGGGCAGCAGTGGAAGGGAGGTACAGAATGCCAGCAGAAAGAGAACTCGTCAAGTCGTACACTAGTATATGATTGCGGACCCTGGACCGATGGTATGGATTATGACACACCAAACTGTAAGTCTTCTCCACTTACTGTACAGCAATGTGAAGACTAATCAGTTTGGAGCTTTACTTAAGGGTACCATCTTCCATACCACTCGATTCGACCGCTATGAGACTGTTGCCGACTTCGACCCCAGAGAATTGCTCAACATCACCGAAGCCATGCTCAATGAGGTATTGACGAACATCACTATTTCAGCTATCTCACTCGGCACCTGGTGGGACATGGTGCCAGTGACGAGTACCAAATACCGCAGTACATACTTGCTCAGTAATCCACTTAATCTTATCCTTCCATACAGTATATGTCTAGCAGCAGCGACTGTCTTCATGGCTATTGGGATGTGGTCGCTGTGGCGCAATCGTGCGCCCGCGGTCGATGGAGGCTTCCTCCAAATCATGGTGGCGACCGTAGGCGATACGGAAATGAGCCGAGTTGTACTGAAAGAAAGCGTAGCTGCGATAGATGACATGACCGATGAGTTGAAGAGCTTGGAGATTCGCTACGGTGAATTGGTAAATGCAGACATGCTAGGGGCAGGAGGCAAACGGTTGGGATTTGGAACAGTAGATGAGACTAAACCGCTAAGTAAGACGGTGTGACAGTTTCTGGATCTCGAAGCCTCCTATCCACGCAACAAGATACCAACTATGTGTCTCATATTCTTGCTACTGTACAATGATGATTCCTACTTCATAGTCAGCCCATCAATCTCCCCCATCCGGGTCCCTCACCCACTCACCTAACTCGCCATCCACCGGCTCACAAACGGGATAATCGCCGCCGCACCAAAATGCGGTGCCGCAAACCCCAGCCCAGCATACTTCATCGTTACCAGCCCGTCGACAAATCCATCCACCGCCAACATCGTCGCCATCAACGCGACGGCCTTTACATCCCCTCGTTGCAGAAATATGCCCGCGATGATACCAAACGTTAAGTTGCGACCGCCCATACATTGGACGAAACCAGATGCGAAAGTGTCGGGCTCAACGGGCATGCCAAAGCCAGCTGCGAATGTGGTGGGTGCGAGGAGGGCGAAGAGGCCGGTGCTTAGGAGGAAGCCGGTTACGCCATAGTTGGCGAGGAGTTTGAGTTGGGTCGACATTTCGGGAGGGTTATGAGATTGGTAGAGTGTTTCTGGCATGGAAGGAACGATGTTGTGCTGAGGCAGGTACCTACGTAGGGAGGCTGGACGTGACGTCATGATGTCATTTCCTTCGCCGCAAACACCATCAATGCCTTTACATCTTGCTTCCATCGCTTCCAACGACCGCCCATTCGAATCCAACCATCAGCGTCCATGGCATTTGAGACTGTTAGGAAGTTGATGTCAGTGGTCGACAAGCATGAGATTGCGGCCCAATGTTCACACCAATAAACCTCCTAAGGCAAGGTGCGCTACACCATTATCCATACCACACCGACGGAACTACACGACGAGCAGTCGATATGGGAAGTTGGATAGATGAGTAATCCGACATGGGGTGTTGTTTCGCCAAGCTTTTAAGATGTGTCGCCGACGAGAAGTAGGGCCGACGTTTGCTTCCCACTCCGCACGTCTACATGCTACAGCTGGCGTTATGCGGTATGTCCGGTGTATCTTGGTAAATCCAACTTCCCTAGTAAGACTAGTTTGAAGGCAGAGTGTCAATGCAGGCGGAAAGAGTGGTGATATTAGCAAGGCACCCTTCCTTCGAGCTGTGTTCGAAAGGCGTCCGTAGACACCGTCTCCGACCTGCTTACGGATGGCGGAGTTTAGGTAGTTGAACAACGGCGTTTCAATCAAGGACTTACAAGGTGAGGACAAGGAGCGCATTAATTGACAACGGCAAGAGTGTATAAAAGAACAGTACTTCTCATCTGTTGTATCCTTCATCAAACACTACAGCTTTTACACTCGATTACCAACTATCTTCCCAAGTGCAACCGCCAACATGACTACTCGTTATGTCTCCGCCCATCAATCGCCAAACGGCCCCGGTGACCAACGCCCTACGGCCTCTCAGATCATCGCAGATGAAAACCTCCAAGGGAAATTGTCGGACAAGACAGTCCTCATCACCGGCTGCTCTTCTGGTCTTGGTGTTGAGACCGCGAAATCGTTGTTCGAAACCGGTGCGACGCTCTTCCTTACGGCTCGAGATCTCAACAAAGCCAAGTCCGCACTCGGAAATCTGGTAGAGAGCGAGCGCGTTCACCTCTTGGAGCTCGACCTCAACTCTTTGGCCAGCGTGCGCAAATGCGCCGACTCGTTCCTGGCCCAGCACGATCGTCTCAATGTCTTCATTGGAAACGCAGGCATCATGGCATGCCCAGAAGGGCGCACCGCAGATGGCTTTGAAACGCAGTTCGGCACGAACCACCTGGCTCACTTCCTGTTGGTCCAACTTCTTCTCCCCACGTTGGTCAAATCCAGCACTCCAGAGTTTAAGTCGCGAGTTGTCATGCTTGCGTCGACCGGTCATCGCATGGGCGGTATCCATTTGGACAATCTCAACCTCGAGGGCGAATACCATCCCTGGATAGCTTACGGTCAGAGCAAAACAGCCAACATCTACACAGCGACCGAGCTGAACCGTCGATACGGATCCCAAGGTGTACAAGCGTTCTCTGTCCATCCCGGTTTGATCTTCACCGGCCTCATGACGCATATCGACAAGGAGACGATGGAGTCATGGGACAAGAACCCTAACATCGGCAAGGCGCTCAAGAGCCCGCAGCAAGGTGCCGCGACTACGGTCTGGGCAGCTACCGCGAAGGCTTTGGAAGACCAGGGTGGCAAGTACCTTGAAGAGTGCCAGATCTCCAGCGTAGTAAATCCTGACGTTGCATCCAACGAGCCCGGTTATGCGCCTCATGCGTACGATGAGGAGAAGGAGAGATTGTTGTGGGAGAAGTCTTTGGAGTTGGTGAAGCCTTTCATGGAATAGAGTGCGCGTCGTCTATCGTGCCTGTATTCGAAGCGCTCCTTTTGCTAGATTCTACATACTGTACTTCCTTAGCAATATACAAACGCGACAAGAACTTGTTTTGGCCCATGTTTGTGCGAAGATCTCGCGAATTTTGTGCACAGTCCGTACTACAATCACACGCGAATTGATGATACATGAACAAGCCACTGTTTCGAAGTGTTCAAGAACGCGGTTGCGCATTAGCGCGAAGATTTCGTGAAGTACGGTTCTGAAGGTACGAGACTGCGTTGCGCGTACAGGCTTCGTCACGTGCGTAGAGCCTTCTCCATAGAGTGATGTAGAGTTTTTCGATGTCTCCAGTGCGAAACCCTTCGACGCCGATATTGCAGCTGTGTTAGAGCGTTCGGGACTCTCTGGGGAGGACTATGTGCCGCTGCCTGCAGCATTGGAGCTGCGTCGGGTCCACGGGTCCCGCGGACTGCAGAGACGGGACAAGGTGGTGGGGACGCTAGCTACGGATGGCGGATGAGTGGGGCACGCGAACCCAACGCGTGGCTGCCAGCTCGTCCGCCTTCTGCTCCCTCTCGCACGCCATAACATCAATACACGACTACCTTCATCATGTGTCTGAGGCTTCTTGTTGTCGACTCACTTTAGAAGGTGCGGTTCTCTCTGCACTAGCTCCAGATCTGGGATAACGCTGCAAAATCTCCTCAGACGTGGCGCGTCAGGAAACCAGCGGACGGCGCTCACTCCCTAACTCCGCAATGCTCTTCAACCGCCAACCCGAGTACTGCATCTTTCAATAAAAGATGACAAACGGTTCCATCCGAGTTCAGCAGCGCTGAGGCTTCGGACGAATGTATAAGGTTACCTAGGTAGGCGTACATAGGCTCCTTTTCATCGCGTAACTGTGGATTACTCAGCGGATAGTGTTCGCTATGATGGCGAGTATCGACGTAATTAGGCCTGGGTGCTTACCGACTTGGGTGGCCTGAGTGCTTACTGAAGAGTGAGAGACGACGACAGAAGCAACAAGAATTGCTCGGGCGTAGCCAAGGCCCAACAGATAATGCACGATCAACCCGTACAAAAAGGAAAGCAAGCTTCTTTTTCGCTTCAAGGGTTGTACACAGATAAGGGGTTCTTCGATCACCGACACAGTACTCGGAGACAGCGTGCCTTTCAATCTCAACCCAGCTCTCCTGAAAAGCCCTCAATCAACCACCGGCTATGCAACACTTTCGCGCCAGAATGAAGCTCGTGTCCATCTTCTCAGCCCTCATGGCCTCGACATTTGCCACGAATGTTTCGACGGTCTACCAATTTCCCAACGGCACATGGGCCGAAAACATTGCTGCGATGGGCAACGGCTCCCTTCTCGTGACAACTCTCGACACTGCTCAAGTGCTTATCGTCCACCCGCAAGGCTCACCTGCAAGCTCTTCCGTCATCGCCACCTTCCCGAATGCAACTGGCGCCCTAGGGATTACCGAGTTTCAGGCGGATGTCTTCGCTGTGATCGTTGCGAAGCTAGTTCCTGGAAACGCGACGAATCCACAGAGCTTTTCCTTGTGGGAACTTGATGTGACTGCCAAGGATGAGGGAGTCAAAGTCAGCAAGATGTCCGAACTGCCTGACATGGCTATGCCTAATGGCATGGCGGCATTGAATCACGAAATGTTGCTGTTGGCAGATTCGACATATGGAAACATTGCTGCATACAACGTCAGCACTGGAAAAACGGAAGTCGTTCTCGAGGATCCTAGCTTAGCAGCCAACCTCTCTGCGCCTGGCCTACAGCTTGGTGCCAACGGGATCAAATTCCACAATGAATACGTATACTACACAAACACCGCCCAGGCTCTGGCTGGCCGCGTTCGTGTCCACCCATCTACTGGCAGACCCAACGGCTTTTTCGAAACCGCGCGCGACTCAACCTTCAGCGCTCCGGACGATTTTGCAGTTGCAAAGGATGGCAGCATGTACGTCTGTGCGCCATTGGCAGCACCCTTAGGCGACAAAATTCATCACATCGAACTAAATGGCAAAGTTACGACTATTGCTGAAGGGGGATTGGTGGCAGGCTCTACGTCGTCGACATTTGGAAGAACGGAGAAAGACAACAGTACCCTTTATGTGTCTACCATGGGTGGCTTTGGACCGGATGGAACAGCGAAGGCTGGTGGGAGGGTTATTGCGGTAAAGCTGCATTAGCAGTACCTGAAATGAGTGAAGCCCTCGGACTCGAGATGGTGCTTCGGGGGTCGGGGTTTACGACAGTTGGTAGGCCTTCACAGTATGTGTACTTTGAAAACATTTGAATACCAGTGTATAGCAGAGAGTTACATATCAAGGGATCATGACTCAGGAACTACTGACGTCTGTATATGGAAGGAGAAAGTCACAAGGCTTTAAGACATTTACGGGTAGAAAGCCAAGAGTCTGCAAGCACACCTCTTCACTTTGATCGACTTTCTCATATGACCCACTTTATAACGACAAACTAGGACATATGACAAGGCCGCAACGCTTTGTCAAAGCCACACTTCTGCTACTCAACGATCCCATTCAGTGTATTGCGTGCGCTTGAACAAGAGCTACACGTCCGGCCTCCAACACCTCTCTTTCCGTACATCACCCAAAGTGCGACTCGAGGGCGCTACCTCGATCTTGCAGCCGATGCATCTCCTCACTATCTGCGCTATTGCAGTTTTCGTTATCGCGATAGCTTGTATCATGTACAGCTTCATTATTCCCGTCATCGACAAAGCCACGAACCCCCCGACACCAGATCGCCGTTACAGGCGACGTAAGTGCTTTGGATATAGGCGTAGGTGTCATGAGCCAAGTAGAATCTTGTTTTATCTGCTGACAGAGAGCTATATCATAGACGGAGACCTCAAGTATGCATTCGCCGACCGACGAGAGAGACACGACCTAGGAGATTTTTCGGATCACGAACTACTCTTGCTTGGTATAACCACGAAAAACAAAAAGAGAAGAGGGGAGTACTATGTCAAGGAATTTTGATGCACGGAGCTGTAATACACAACATACAAGGACACATCCGACTGGAATGGCGCCCAAGTGGTGATATGCAAGCTGCATAGACATCTGGAATACTGGTAGGTTATACCAATACACACGATCATTATAGCTCGCATTATACTATTGGTCTAATACTTACCTTGTTCTTCGCTGGATAACTCATCATATCATTTCCTTGCAGCTTGTTGTCTCAAGGCGGAGATATCGAAGCGCTTTATCCTGCACGTTCACATGGCAAAAAGAGCAAAGCTAAGCCAGTCGCACGAGATGGGCAATAAGACAGAATTGGAGGTGATGTCGTGAATTGCTACAAACCGCTGCGTCGGGCCGTAATGTTGGATAGCAGTCGCGCAGCCTCTCCGTGCCTTGCGGCAAAATCTACTCTAGCTCCAAGTACAAAGCTCTCAGCCGTTCTTTCTTCGAGACCTACAAATAAGGCTTGATATCGCACAGCGTTGCCTCTTAGTTGAAGTACTCTAGCAAGTGACGGAAATACCCTTGATAGCCGGGCCGAGGGCGTAGCAGTCTCCAGGCCTGGTGACATTGGCGAACTGATTCACGCTGGTGCATGTAGCATCTGTCCAGATAGCCACTAATTTTTCTTAGCTCCATTCATATCATAGTCCGATGCATGGGCTCGAAAGATAATACTCACCCTTGCAACCAACGTTGGCGTAGTTGAGCCTCAAGCTAGCTTGGCAAGCGTCGGTGATGGCATTGCATCCGGCGTGAAGATCGCCTGAGCCAGCCTTGTTGCAGATGGTTCCAGTGCAGCCACCACCAGCGTAGCGGTCGACGGAGGCAACAGTGGCGACCTGGCGAGGCGAGAAGTCGGAGGCGGGGGAGGCGGTGGCCAGACCGAGAGCGGCGACAATGATAGTGAGAGCGTACATCTTGAGAGTTTGCAGAGTGTGAGAGTTGAAGAGAGGACTTTGTGACTGTTGGCTTGAGATTGTTGTAGCAAAGAGCGGAAGGAAAGGGCATTCTTATACTTTTGATCACGTACAACTCAGAAGGATGACCATCAAGCGAGGCTGCAGTCTTGAGGCATCAGCAACTCTTCGGATCATCGGGAGGCATAGCCTCATCCTTCGGTGTGTTGTCGTTGTTGGTGACGAGAGCTCGGATGTACAGCGGTTTACGGTCTACCCCACGCATGGCCAAGAGCATCAGCGTAGTGTCAATACGATTATCAAACGCCAATAGAGATGGGAATAGCTGACTGAGTTACATGTGGCTTGTACTAGCAGATGTGGCTCTTGCGTAGCGTGGGTTGTGACGGACCAACGAGCGGTAAGATAGTGCAGCAGGCAACGTTATGTGATATCCGCGGAAGGAGCTCCGGCATCATGGATCATCGCTAGAGGTAGTTGGTATTGCTCCTTGGTAACGTGGTAGCGATTTTCGCGGTAGTCTGCAAGAGAGAAGACCGTTACCGGTATGGAGCTACTTCTGGAGGTGCAGAAGAGTGGTAAGTGTTTCTCTGCTTTCTCATAACCAAACAAGCCGGGATTCTGAACAGCCTGTGCAGGACAGCCAAGGCCATGGTAGTACAGCGTTAAGACCAGTTTGGCGCGACATAACAAAGTCCTATGCTCTTCTCAGCGGTGGCGTGTTTGCTCTGCGATGATAGGACCATTGTGCGCATTTCTCACACATCTTACTGGTAGGTCTTCCACTCAACGAAATCTCTAACACTTACGTACGCTACTGACTACCCAATGAAGGGCTACGCAAAGACGCGGGTGTCGAACAAACTGAACGTGTTGGCTGACGAGTCGGCAATCCTGGACTGTGCTCATCTTGCAGTCTACAACGTATACGAAGAGGCTCGGTCATCGAGCTGACCATAGGGGGTCGAGCATCATCGAGATACCATCGAATCCTGCAGCTATAACAGGTGGTTTCCATGCCTGCAAGTTAGGCATCATAGTATGCAAGCTCTCTGTTGGTACGATCGCGTGCGGGCTGACACATGAATTTGGTTGGCTATCACGAAGAACACTGCCGAGTATGTGCTAGTCATACCCCTAGTGTTCGTCTTCAATAGTCTGGACCTCATCCTGACTCTGCAAGGCGGGTTCGTTTGGTAAGAAATACTGTAGAGGCTGAGAGTTCTGCAGGCCTTACTGGCAAGTTCGCATGCCAGATGTCTCAACAAGCCTTCCGAAGACTAGCCTTCGGGCCACAAGCAACTGGCGGGCCGAGCCTGTTGTGTGCTTCGGCTGCCGCGTACTGCATCGCGTCTGCAGTATGTAAAGCTAAAATTCCAATTCCAATCCTGGAACTTTTGACTCCACGTGGGGCGTGCTGTCTTCACGCTGCGTAGATAGTAGACCCCTGAGGTGATCGGTAGCTATGACATGAAGACCTAGTCGTATACCTCATTCCTCTGCTCGTCCATCCGACAGATACTGGACTGTGTAAGATTATAGGTGTCCGGCCTAGAAGCGATGGTAGAATGACCGGGTAAAGTCGGTCTCGCATAATGGGCGTGCATGCAGACATCGTATTCGACCTGATAACCTGGTCTGTGGGTGCATAGGCGGTCGACGCCGGATCCCCGTCCACCAACAATGGAGCTATGTGTTTAAGCCGGTGGATTACGAGCTCGGATCGAGAAAGATGAACAGTAGGTTCCGCACAAGACGCGAGAAAGACTTGGCATCTGATGTAGATGGTTGGCGGTCCGTGTGCGGGCGCCTGACTGCTGATGCGGTGTCGAGCAGTGATAAGCGTTCGCCATGAGTTACAAAGCATCATTCACCTTGATCTGACCACCAAACGCGTCTGTCGGAACTTTCCTGACCGGATAACGTTGAAAGACGAGATGGGGCATTGTAGAGCGCGTGCTGGAAGCGTGGAAGGATGGAAGCCACGGAGCCGCTGTCCGCAAGGGCCATCTCGCTTGCGGCTTAGTAAGCCGATTCACGTGATGATGTCATCTCGACGCGTCCACCCGTGGACGGGTGAATTTCAACTTTCATCGCTATCACGTCTCGAGACATTTCCTTATCATCTGGCAGATAGTGCATCCTTGAAATAATTATGAAGTCAACCTCAGACATGCATATTTGCGATTGTATAGAACAAGGCGCTGGGGTCCACAAGCAGGTGATGGTGTAGCACAAGTGCAACGATTGCTCATATCCTCCACTTCAAATTAGACTTGACGCCTGAACCTCCTCAAGGGTCTCTGTTGATCGGCGGGTTGATCAGGATCCCAGCCAACCAAGCAATTCACAGTCTCCGCTCCAAGCCCAGGGTCGTTGATGCGGTCACCAGTCGGCATGCGGAACTGTCCCATAAGCTTGACATACGAGTCGAGCGCATCGACCATAGTCTTTCCAAGAGCCAGAGCTTTCTCAGCCCTAGTATGCGAATAGAAAGTCAGCAGTTCAAGCGCATCCTCTCGCATTCCGTTCTCCACCAAAGTCTTAGCGCTGCGCTCAACCCACTCCATATCTGCGAATGAGGCGTTTTCAAATCCGTGGAGCATGTTTTGGACGATGGGTAGGTATGACTCCGGATCTGAGCAAGTATAGTAGAGCACCTGCTTGAAGATGCGTCCGGCGAAGTGCGTGGCTTCTTGATATTGGTAGTCGGTATCCAAGAAGGTGGATGCGGCATCTTTGTAGAGATAGCGATGGAGGCCGTACTCAGGTGGTACGCTCTTCACACCTAGCCACCACGGGTTGAAGGGTGCGGTCACAGATCCGGTCGGAGCGACCCAGATGCGAATCAGATTCGGGTCCATGTCTGCGCGAAGAGACACGACCTGGCCATATCCGGCTTCATCATCTGAAATCCGGTAGTCACGAACGCGCTCGATGAGGTCTTTCTCGGTCACCGGAGCCATCGCGCGAGTCGCATTTTCGAGGGCAGCTTGAGACATGTACTTCGCACCTCCGTCTCGCGCGGTGTACCCCTCCGCTTGGTAGGCATACGCATTAAAGATGTTGAACGGCTCGGTGCCATTCGGGTTCCACCAGCCTTGTTCGACGGCAAAGCTCACGATGTTCGGGCTACCCATGTAGTCTGTACTGTTTTCGAAATCGACCGGGAAGTCCTCAATGTAACCTGGGTAAAGCACACGTACGTCGTTCTCGCCGAGACGTTCTGCAGCCCAAAGCTTCTTGCCTCCTGACATCTGCCATACGACCCAT